TTTGAAATCTCCTAAGCTAAAGTTATACCCAGTGTCCCAGCTTACTTCCTGTTGCCTATTGATCAAGATGTAGGACTCTCAGCTCCTTCTTCAGCACCTGCATGCATGCCACCATGTTCCCTGTCATGATGATAATGGACTAAACCTCTGAAACTGTATGCCAACCTAATAATATGTTTTCCTCTATAAAGTTGTTGTGGCCATGGTATTTCCTCACAGCAACTAAGACACCACCTAAGCATGTCAGCCATTGAATTAAAGATAAACTGAGGGCTGAGGTTTCACTCACTTGAGGTATTGGCCTGGTAGGTTTGTCCATTAAGCCTCCCACATAGACTGTGTTGGGAAGCAGGGGACGAGCAAACTCAAAGGCAAAGTCAGAGTTGACAAACCACAGCTCTGCTTTCAGTAGAAGGTCAGACAAAACTGGCCGAGAGCCTTCTGCAAAATGTTCCTGGATAGTGGCATCATAATGAGAAAGTATTCGTCTTTGCTTCATGGAGAAATCAAAGAACATCAGGAAGTTCTTCACTCGGCCCCAGAAGTCCATTTGGTCAGTTAGTCTTGAACCATACACTGGAACATAAGATAAGGGGCTAGGGAGTCCAAAGTCCATAAAACTAAATTGCATGGGAAGAAAGGCCACAAATTGTTTTTCAAGTTTCTCAGCAATCAAGAAAACACAAGGTTCTGCTGCATCCAAAAATAGGAGGTCAAAGTTCTTTTTTCTTAAGGAGCCCATGATGTCCTTTCTGCTTAATAAGTGACTGCATACATCCACAAAGTATTTGTACATCTTTACAAGAGTGTGATGATTGAACCTGCAAAAATATGACAGCAAATATTTGGGGAAGATATTTCTTACTATCTGGAATAATGTGAAATTCAATGAAAGTATTCCACAACTAGGCAAACATAAGCCTAGAATCTGATCTATTAATTTTTTTTTTCTGTTTTGTGTGATACCTAAATTAACTCTGTGTGCGGTGTGTGTGTAGGGGGGAGTAATGTGTATTTCCTTTTCCGGTGATAAAATTAGAAAAGAGGCCAAAAGAGCACTTAAAAATAAAAGACATAAAAAGTGATTAGGAGACATAGAAGAATGTGTCAAATTAGTGCAAAGGATAGTGAAAGTTATGAATTCTTTAAAATCCATGATAAAACCTAATTTTTCACATGCTCAAATTTTTTAATGGTAAACATGAGTGTGATTGGAAGATTATTATCACAATTCTGAGTCAAATTTCCACTGTAGATTATGCTAAATTTTAGTCATCTTATTGATGAATCTTTCACATCAATGCTTACCAGATAAGCGACCTGGTAAGATGCACAAGTGTGCTATGCCATCCTATGTAGTGATATTTTGTTTGTGTTTTAAAATTGAAGCTTGCCTGAAGATCAGAGTACAGAACTAAGCCACTAGAGGCCAGGCAGTGGTGGCAAAGACTTTTACTCCTGGTATTTGGGAGTCACACATCTTTACTCTCAGCACTAGGAAGGTGGAGACAGGAGTGATATGACTGGGAAGAGAGGAATATAAGGCAGGAGGACACAAGCTGGAAGCAGTCTGATGCTTGGTGGAGACAGAAGGAGTCTGAAGATGCAATCTGACAACAGGGTCGCCCCCTTCGGTCTGAGCATTGGTAGTGGTAAAAGAATTCTAGTGTCTGGCTGCATGTTTTCTGAACCCTCAGGATTTTCCCCCAATATCTGACTCAGGGATTTATTTATTAAGACCAATTAGAATTTGTGTTCCAATCATGCATCAAAAGATCCACAAGATGAGAGCCAGTGACACACTCCTATATTTGTTCATTCTCGACTCAACTTCAAGTCACAACAACTGTGAATTGCCTTCAAGGGTCCCTCTGTCAGAGAGATGTTGTTCAATGTGGCTGTACGGAGGTGGTGGTATCTTTAAGGAAACACCTTCGTAAGACATTATTAGAGGCCCTTTTCCTTTAGATGCTTGAAATGATCTGCAGTGGACTTTGAGCTAATTCCTGTGGGGGATGTAAATCTGTTCTTTCCCTTCTCTTGACTCTTCCAATCTCACATACTTTAGTCATTATGATCCCATCTCTCATGGTGTCTTCAATAAAACTGACTGCTGTTAACCCCATAATCTTGAACTTCCACAATTGTGACTTAAGTATGCTTTTTTCATTATATATTCACCCAAATTCTGTTAATTTGTTGTAATAATAGAAATAGATTTATGCAAATTATAATCCTCTACATTTATCATCTTCATTCCATTTTAAAATATATATTTAGGTAATAATTTCTAAATAACTATCATAAGTGCAGGTTTGGTTTCCTGACAACAGAATGGTGATCCCTTTAAGGAAAATCAATTGCAAAAATTCTCAAGAAGGTGCTGTTCTCAGCAACTTGACTGTATTCTACCTGTAATTTGAACTACTCTTTAGAAGGAGACACAATATATATGTTTTAATGTGTATAAATATCTGCCCTCATAGACTAAGGTGCAATTTGACATCTTTCAAACATATGACAAAATATATATGGTCTTTAAGTTTCTGTGAGTGAGAAAGTTTTCCAAAAAGAATCTTGATGCTGTTAGCACAACCATGACTGTTAAGTAGAATTTTCAAGGACAGAGATGAGAGTGAGACCAATGGACTTAACTAAGGGACACATCTGAACTTGTCATCCATGTAGAAGACAAAGGAGGTTCTGAGCATTATAGTCAAGGTCTAAAAGCCTGAGGTTCATGTATATCACCTGGACTTTAAGAAAATTATGAGGTTACCTGTGGCAATTAGCTGTTATGCTAATGATAACCAGCCTACAATCCATAGAACTGCAGAGTTCAGGTGTAGAGTAAGGGAAATGTGGGCACAGGGAGATCTTATTAAGAAAGAAAAATATAGGTAGTTGTGGGTGGAAGTGAAAATCTGGAATGAGAGGATAAAGTATGGAGTGGAGAGAGTGATGAGAGAGAGAATGCAGGGAGACACATTTAAAATTAAGGGTAATTGAGGGGTAGTATATAAACTTAAAACAATGGACATTTCATAAAATATATACATATATGAAGGTGTTCTAAGTAAAACTCACAAATAATGGAGGAGACAGAGCTCTAACTGTCCATCTCCTGGCAGCAAATGAGCTTCCAGTAGCATATTTGGGTCAAATATAATTGAGTTGTTGGCCAAATGGAATACCCCAAACAATCCAGGTAGTTGCCAAAACTATAGATTGCTCTTCACAAACTGGCAGCAAGGCTCTATTGCTGAAGACAACTCCTACACAGATCATTGATCATGGAGAAATTGATCTGTTGCCTTTAGAGAGCCTAGCATCTAGCATCTTTGGTATAAGCACATTCTCCGAACACGAAGAAAAATATAAACGCCAAGCCAACCACAAAACCACTGATCTACAATGTTGTCCTCCTTGCAAGATGTGCTAGGGCAATACAGAGGCAAACTTTTGGGAACAACCAACCAAAAAATAATTTGATTTAAGGCCCATTCCATGAGATGAAATCTATGCCTAATACTGCTTGGATAATTAAGAACCTGAGATTAGATAACTCAAGCACCTAGGAAATTAACAAATACTATAGGGTTAAAAATCAAAACAAAACAAAATGTATCACGAAAATGACTTCTAAAGATATTTTTGATATGCTGGTAGATCTGGAACTTGCTCATTCACCACCAGAGAACTTTTCTCCTGCAGCAGATGGGAGCAAATATAAAGACCCACAGCCAGACACTATGCAGAGTAAGAGACCTTGGAATACTCAACCCTAAATGGAATGTCTCCATCAAATCTCTTGCTTTGCAGATCAAGGAACTGGTAGGAAGAGCAGGCTGAAAAAATGAAAGAGTCAAAGGAATGGAGAACACTGAGAATACAAGGCACTAAGAAGCAACATAAGCAAAGCTCATATGATTTCCAGCACACACTGAGGCCAAACACACACACACACACACACACACACACACACACACACACACTCTTCCAAGTTGCCGGAGGCTGCTCATTCATTCTCCGACTGCTCTGACTCAAAATAATCACACAAAAATCTGTATTCATTGCAATAGCTTAAGTGTATTTATGTCTAGCTCTTACATCCTAAATTAACCAATTTCTATAATCTGTGCATGACCAGAAGGTCATGGCCTACTGGCACAGTTTAAACAGGCTCCAGCAGAGGCATCTGTCTCTGGCAGCAGCTACATGGCTTCTCGCTGACTCTGCCTACTTTCTCCCAACATTCAGTTTAGTTTTCCCATCTAGCTACATATTGTGCTATCATAATCCAAAGTAGCTTCTTATTCATTAACCAATGAAAGCAACAGATATACAGAAGGACTTCCCACCCCATTTCCCCTTTTCTGACTAAATAAAAAGGAAGATTTTAACTTTAACAGAGTAAAATTGCACATAACAAAACGCGTATCAAGCAAGAATTACAGTTATAATATTTATATCTACTTTACCTTTCATCAAAACTAAGGAAAACTATTACTATCTATTTTTAAAGTCCATCAAAGACTCCAGAAGGATATAATATTGCCTAAGTAAACAGAAAGTTCATTGTAAGCAACTTCCAAACTCTAGAACTGACAGAGACATCTTGTGACCTGGACAGTCACTGATCATTCTTTTGTAATATTGGGGCTTCCAGTCTTTATCCTACAGGCCCATAATATCTGGCAGACATTTCCATGATTAGGAAATTTCAAGGACAGTTCTGCCCATATTGACAATTTGTCAGTCGCTTTTTTCTGTGTCCTGCTGAATGTCTGGCAGATACTTTCATGAAACAGGAACCCTAAAGGAGTATCTCAGCTTTGGACAAGGTCAGCAGCCATTTTTCTGTGGATTCTGCATGTCCAGTTCATACAGTATAACATCAAGTAGTTCAGGCAAGAGTAGTTTCTTTCCCAAATGACTAAATAACTACATAAGAAGCCTCTTTGATGCCCATCAACCTCTTGAAGTAGATTGGTACTGCCAGGAGCAGATGTGTCACACTGTCATGAAAAGTCCAAAGTTCTTAAAACATTTTGAAAGTCATATTCTGTAAGTCTTTGAAAGATCTGAAGAATATTTATCCATTTGTATATCTAGAAAACATAAGTAACATGGCTACAAGATTGACTATTATAGATGACTATCTATTAACCTGTATTTTTTAATTATAGAATACATTTTTAAATGAGCTGCACAAACACAATACTTTAATTAAGAGCAGAAACATACATATAACAAAATTGACCTTAAAATTTTATCAATAAACCAAGAGCCATACCAATGCAAAGTATCCATCTCTATACCATATCTCCCATTAAATGTAAACAAAAACTTATAAAAAAATATTTGGGAATTTGAACCTAGTTCTCTCCAAACTGCTTCCTGCTTTTTGCTGAGCAAAGTAATTTTTGGGGGTGTTCATGGCGACTTTTCAGCTGGTCTTGGTCCATCAAACCACATTAGTCTGGAAGGAATTCACAGGTTTTCATCCTCTGTTGAAACAAAAGAAGAACCTCTTTTCCAAAGCAACAAATCTTTAGATCCAAATTTTGAAGTCAAGATACTTTTAAAACATATATGTTGGTTTAGCTTAGCAGTCCCCAGAATCAAATATTTCTCTGTGGTCAAAAAATTCAAAAAAACACAATAATATTTATAATCCAAACTCTCTGTGTATATTCCATCTTTACATGGCTTACCTTTCTTGCTCTATTACTTTTTCTACAAGTTTAATATGACTGTCTGTGTTCTGTCTCTTTAAAGGCTTTGTTTTACTTTATATTTTTTCTTCTCTCTCTCAAACCTACATACATATGTCCAACACTGTGACCCACTTAGATGTCTTTTATTTGAATCTGTCTTTATTGCGTATCTGTAATTATTTTTTGACCAGGAGCACTTTTTTTAATGTTAAGCAGGCATGACTAGAATCAACACCATGGTTCTGCCTATTGGCTCTACCCAGTCCTACATGGTAGAGGCATGTTCGTAACCTCTGTGAGCCATGCTCCCAGCCCCATTTCCAGGCACACAGTAGGTCTATGTTGCCATTAAGCCAGTTGTAACACTCTGTTCACAAAACACATTTAAATGCTCTGTAGTCAGAAATCTCTAAAGAGACAGAGCCATTTGTCAGGCAAACCAGGAAGCCACTGTTTATTAAAGCCATGCAGCTTTTACTGTACTTCCCTTGCAAGCAGAGCCTATCTGAAAAAAAAAATGTTGTTACCAAGAATTATGCTTGCCTCCTGTTTTTGTGGGTCTAGAAGCCTTTTTTTCTTTAAAGCTTTCTTATACTTTACATGGAAATTCTTGTCCAATGCCACTGTGCCAATTTGTTGCCAGAGGCTGCTTGTTTGTTCCCCGACTGCTTTGATTCGAAATAACCATACAAAAATATGTATTAATTGTAATATTGTTTGATCAATATCTTAAGGGTATTTCTGGCTAACTCTTATATTTTAAATTAACCCATTTCTACTAATCTGGGCAACACCACAAAGTCATGGCCTACTGACACAGTTTCAGCAGCTGTCAGTCACCTACCATGCATCACTCAAAAACAATCCAGCCCTACATTGGATAAATCATCCAGTTGTTGCTTCTCTTAAATTCACTCAAGGTATCATACAACTATGATCTACTCATGCATAGGACTTAATCAGCAATACTTTGGTTTCAAGAAATAAAGCAAATTACCTTTCATTAAATAATTCTTCCACAAGGAGATATACTCTACTATGAAATTCTTTTTCCTGATCTTCAGGTGGACGCCAAGTTATAACTTCATATGATGTTTTCTCCTTTTTAAAATCTAAGAAAACATCAATCGAGTAATATTTAAACATATCACAATATACCACACATTATTACAGTGATAAAATAATTAAACTAGCTTCACATTTTTGTGGAAATTTAGTTTTGACCTTCAGTGGTTTGTTCTTCTTTGAATCTATTCAATTCTGTAATCTAATAACATTTATTGACACTTTGCAATAATTCAAGAATTTTTTGCTGTTTTCTTTTTTTTCTTTCTGTTTTTCTAGACAGGGTTTTCTATATCTTTGGAGCCTGTCTTATAACTCACTCTGTAGACCAGGCTGACCTCAAACTCACAGAGATCTGCCTGCCTCTGCCTCCTGAGTGCTGGGGTTAAAGGTGTGCACCACTAGCACCCGGGTCAAAAAAATTAAAAAAAATAAAAGAACTTTATAAAGTGTTCCCTAATGAAAATGTCCCTGCAACAGATTTCATTTAAAGACACAGCTGCCATTTTTCACTTTACCGGTGACAAAGCATGAAGGAAAATAGTCTGAAATGATTTACTGACTTTGTTGTCAAGTAAGTTAGGGTTAGCAGGTAACTACGAGTCAGTTTCATTGTAGAGTCCATGTGCTTCACAGAAAAATTAAAAGGAAATATGTGATGTGCTGATTTGCTTGTTTGTTTTTTGTTGCTGTTTATTTCATGTTTGGTTCTTGTTTGTTTGTTTTGTGGCAGAGTCTTATTTGATGACCTAATTGGTTTTCAACCCAAAATCCTGACTCTTTAGGCCTCCATATGGAAATCTACTAATCTAAAAGCTAACGTTAAAATTCTACTGTGAAATAGAAAAGAAAGACTAACCCATTATCACATCGGAAATGGCAAGTGTACATGGACAGAAAAAGAATCTCTGAGTTGGGAGTGGTAACTCATGTTTATAATTCAAGAAGCTGAGAAACTAAGATAAGAGAGCAATCATGTGAGTTTGACAACAACCATGGCCACATGAGAGAGTTCTACAACAGCCTGGGCCTGATTCAGAAAAAAATCAGAAAAAGAAAAAGAAAGAAAAGAACACAAGGGGAGCAAATAGGAGGACATGGTGGCAGGGGACAGAAGAGAGAGGGGAAATAAAAGACAAAAGAAATCTGAAATCAGCAACACTCAGATCTACAAATAAAACACACCCGTTCCACTGCTAAGGGGAAATTTTGCATATCTTTTGTGCATACTTTGCTAAAGGAGGAGAAAGTCTGTAGCTTTGAGCAATAGTTCAAAGGTTGTGGGACTAAGAAAACAGCGTGAGCATGAATTGCAGTTATGAAACTAGAATATTAAGGACAACTAAATCTGTAAAAAATATATCTGGATAAAGAACTGAAGTTTCCTGGGCTCTGTGCCCTAATCTCTCAGCAGTGACTGATGATGCTCTTCAGTTTGGTTTGGTTATGATTCTCTGTATTCAATAAATTACGAGTTTTGGGGGAACCACTGATTCTTCAAGAATCTGAGGTCTTCTCAATCACAGATTCTAAAATTTAAGCATAAATATAAAGTTCACTGAAAAATAATTCTTAAATTGTAGGTCTCATTAAAAAATACATATAGGTTTGTATGGCATCGAGTGTAGCAATTCTTAGTTAATTAAAGCCCTCGGTATGGCAGAACATGTCTGTTCAACACTACAATCAGACACATTTGACATAAGAATTTCTCAAATGATCAATAATCATGTGTAGTGCTGACTGAGGGTGACACTCAATGGAAAAAGCAGTCAATTTTGTTGCCATAACAAAATATTTGATATTAGTTAACTTATATTTTTAATATTTTACTGAGATGGCTTTGCAGTTTAAAGTGTGTACTACACATGTTCAGTTCCAAACAACCACATCTGTCAGGCAGCTCACAACTGCCTGTTAACTCTAGGTCCAGGTGATCTAACCATTTCTTTTGACCTCATTGGACTCTTAGACATTTTTGCATAAATACACACAATCACACACAAATATACAAAATAAAAATAAATCTAAAAAATACTTTAGCTCATGGATCTAAAGATTGACCATCCAGGATTGCATGGAGCTGTGTGACTAGCCTTTGGTGGGTGTCATTTCACTGCATCTTAATACAGAAGGCGATGTGTGCAATGCATGGTAGATACAAGAGCTTCATGACAAAGGAGAAGAAAGAAGCCAAGAAGGAAAGGATCCTTCTTTTATAAACACCTATCCCATGAGAAATAATCCACACCTGGAAGTACAATGTAATTCCTTTCCATGTGTAAACCATAGGCCAATCAGCTTTTACTAGGCCTACTTCTTAAGCTCAATAATGTTCAATACCTTTGGTTCTTGCACATTAAAGTTTGGGGGACATACTCCCAATCATTGTCAACCTATACCATGAAGTAACATACAGAAATATGTCATAGAAGGCCAAGAAAACATAGTCTGATGAGATCTATAAATCTTATACAGACACACACCATGATTTCTGGTGAAATGAGACCAAATATACAACTTTTATCAAAAGTTAGTATTTACTAATTAAATTGATTTAATACAATAATTGATTTTAAAAGTACCTTGGAAGGGAACATTTTCATGTAGCAGATTGGTCACATTATGGCCATGGTCTTGAAGAATTTGTGATACATGCTTCATCAATCTACAATGGCTTCCACCTAGAAATAAAACAAGTCATTTTTGTGGAGAATAATGAAAAGATTTCTGATTAACATAAATGACTAACATAAAGAAATACAAAAGTAAATGTAAAGACATAGAAAGCCGCACAATCCATAGAGAGAAACCAGCTCTTCCATGCCCTCAGTTACACTGTAGGTGATATCCAGGACAAGAACCCAAAGCTCTGGCCAATAGAAATCCCCCACCAAAGGTACGAAGACTATGCCTGAAGAGAGGGCCAGCAATTAAGGTCATTTGCTGCTCTCACAGAGGTCTTGGGTTCAGTTCCCATGATGGCTTACAACCATCTAAAACTCCATTTCCAGGAAAATTAACACTCTCTTCTGGCCTCCACAGGCATTTCTTGAACATGTTATAGGCTATATGTGCAGCCAAAAGACTCATAAGTATAAAATAAAAATAAACATTTTACAAATCCAAGAGTTCCCGTGCTTGATGTAATGAGCTACTCTGTGGAGGCCCCAAAACATGAGCCTTTTCCAACTTGTCTGAAGGTCAGAGAGTTTTAGATTATTCAAAATTGTTAACAACAAGTGTGGCTACACACCCTAACCTAAGGTGTGGTTGCTTTGTGTTTTAGACATTAAGGTGCCTCAGACAGGTAGATCCACTCCACCCTGACCAAGGGCCAGGGCATTCAAGCATACTTCTGCTCTTTCTTCTGAATTAGGAGATTTGACCTAGGGAGTGGCTGCCTTCAGGATATATGGTCTAGGATGGGTTCACTGCCTAAACAACAGAATGTGTTTCTCAAGAATTAATGACTTGATGTCTAAATTATTGAAGCAAGTAACTGTTAAAGTTGTGCTTTGTATCATGTTAAAGTAGTCTTTTGTCTTCTAACCCTTTTTGTATTGGGTATAAAAGTGTATGAAAAATGAACGAAATGAATGCTGGTGAATTCAGCATTCAGTGTTCACTGAGTTGTTCTCTCATCCCTTTCCTATGTTTTGTTATTCTTTCTTACTTAACATATTCTATTCCTCAAGCTCCTACCCTGTCACTTGGGAGCCTGCCACAGCGAGGATCATAGCAGAAGTCATGCCCAAAATGTTGACCTAAATACTACTCTGCTTGGATATTAGACACTCTTCATCCTGTGGTACATTTATATTTTCCATGGTGTCTTCCCACCACTACAGTCATTGAGTTCAAAACAAATTATCACACTGAAGGAAAATACCTCATAATAGGAGTATGGAGCTCTCATTTAAGAAATTTCTCTTCTTAGACCTGATTTTATGCCCTTTGAAATAAAGCCATTAAGGATCATCATGAGGACTCAACATATGGGATGGTTGTGAAGAGCACCAGACACATGAGAAGCTTTGACAACATAAATTCTCCAACAATCTGGGGATCCTCAGGAAATGTATGCATATTTTTACAACAATAGCTTCTTTTTGGCTACAATTTCTTTAGAATATTAGTTTTGAGTCCAAAGTAGAAGCAGAGAAAGATGAACTAAGAAAAGAAATGAAAACTGTATAACAAAGGCTGGGAAGGCAGAATGACTGGGAGAGCTGAAAGCACCATGATTAAATTAGGGCAGAGCAGGAAAAGGCAGGGAAATGGAATGTATCTCTTGAGTGAGTCACTCTTTTCATTCATATTTGTGTTGTCTGAAATAACACAGCATGGATAAAAGTCCACTACACCTTGAGCTCGCTGCTTCTGTTCTCATAGATTAAGAACAATGATGTAACACAGACATTCTAATGAATGCTCATTAAAAAGTGTTCTTCCTGAGGAAAGCCTGAGGATTTCAAAGTGGACAAACTAAGTCAGTGAGACCAGGAACAGGTGTTGTATAAAGACTTCGGATCTTTAAATTCATTACATAAAAGAACCAGGACAAAAGGAGACAGATGAAGCAACGTCTTCACCTGAGGCTGAGGGATCATTTCTGAATGAGGCAAGATGAATAACAGCCAGAGGAACATGGAGTTTGTTGTGAGACTATTTCTTGTAGGAATGTCAGGAACTATACTCATAAAATCTCACCAGCGAGAACACCTAGCCATGTTCTGAACAAGGACAACAACATATACATGCTGAAGTCAAGGTGAGAAAGCCCAGCAGCATTCAACCCTACAAACACATACATGCAGACACACACACACTCAGAGAGAGAGAGAGAGAGAGAGAGAGAGAGATAGAGAGAGAGAACAATAAACAAACAAAAACAACTACGATAAATATAGAGGCAACTAAGAAATACTGAGAATGGGAGAAACAGGCTTCCCTAGGGAAGATCACACTAATTGGTTATCTAATACTAAATTAACATCTCTAAAATCATACATACAAATAACACTATACAGACTGAGTAGGTTATATTTAGTAGAACATATGGATAAACACATACATATATGCATAGTGTAACAATGAAAATGAGATCATGTGTTTCAAAGAGATGATGGAGATGTATATGGGAGGATTTAGAGGGAGGAAGGGAAGGGGAATATGGTGTAATATAAGCTCAAGAAAAGTATTTTTAAAAGCAGGTAAAACATGGGATCAGAATTTTTAAAATTACTGAGCATGTCGCACTATGAGGGTGATCATTAGAAAATGTGTGTGAATTACTTATGTGACATCAGAAAGGTGAGTTGTGGTCCTGCAAGAGGCTGCCCAGGGCCTTGATCCTTGTTTTCCTCTATAGAGAACCGAGCAGAAGGTTCAAGCCCATGTCTACAGTCTGTGTTTCGCCACAGCACTGAGGTCCTCAGGCTCCAACCCTGAAAGTGATTTTGATACACTATTGTTTGAGCAAGGTTGAGTACAATCATCCTTTCATACGGGCATGCTTTCAATCTTTTGCATTCTATTATCCTAAACAACGAAAAGTAGATGACAATTGAACCATAGAATACAGAATTATAATACCATTCATCTTCAAAAATGTTGAGAAAGAAGGTAAAACACAGTAGGGCCCACTAGACTCCTCCTGGGGATTTGAGTCATCACTTCAATTTTACCTTGGAAAAAGAATTCCTAATGTTTAACTCTTAGAAATTTAGGGGAAATCTCTGAATGTCTTACCCCTGCCACTGAGAAAGGACTTGAACTTTATTGCTTAATAGTACATCTTAATCTCTGTCCCCTGTCCTGTGTGATGATTACTTCCACAGCTGTTAAAAGAAAACTTCTGTTTTCCATAAAACTATCTATCATCTTCCAGGAGGTGATGGCATAGGTCTTTAATCCCAGCACTTGGGAGGCAGAGGCAGTCAGATCTCTGTGAGTTTAATGCCAGTATGCTCTACAGAAAAAATTCCAGGACAGGCAGGGCTACACAGAGAAACTCTGTCTAAGCAAGCAAACAAATAAACAAACAAACAAACAAGCAAAAGCCACAAAGGAGGGGCCAGAGTCTGGAAAGATTGCTCTCTGGTTAAGAATTCTCGCTGTTCTCACAGAGGGACTCAGGTTCAATAACCAACACCCAGTGGAGGCTCATAACCACCTATAACTCAATTTCTAGTAGATCTGAAGTCTTCTATCAAACCACACAGGGACTGGGTGCATGGTTGCCAAACAGACAAACATGCAGGTAAAATATTCATGCAATAAGAATAAATAATTTTTTTTAAATTATCATCTTACTGAGATAGTTGGGAGTAGTGAACAGTACCAGATACAGTAAACTTTCTATTCATTGTTAAATCCATAATGTCAATAGCTCTGCCATAAAACATTCTGAAAAAAAAAATGCTAAAATTCTTACAGCATTCCCTTATGATTAGACAACTAAAGGAGGCAGAGTTTCAGATAGATACACAAAAGTATACAGAAGGGGCTTAATGATAAAGTACCTTAATTTATATAAACTCCTTAGCAATTCTACAGAGTAAGCAAAGACATAACCATTTTTTCAAAAGCAGAATCATACTCACTTCAGAATGAAAAACTGTTCCTTACAAGAACTTCAAAATAACCTAAGTAAGCCATCCAGGTTCACTTGATTTCCATTAACTTGTAAAAATCATTAATTTTAAAGGTTATGGAGCAAAATAACACGTGAGTTATTTCCTGACAACTTGGCATTGGGGAATAGTTGTTATAACCGTATTGTGGTCACAGATTGCAAATTAGTGGTCAATGTTCCTTTGTGGAGGTTGTAGTTTACTTTTGCTATAGTCTTGACTCTTTACTGGCACCCATATAGGTGTCCAATTGAGATTTAAAATAGAAAAACACATTCATCAACTGCCTTCCTATTACATGTGTCATTTCCTGCCCTAATCTTTGGGTCACACATATTCAACTATGAATGCAAACAAGATGATCATTTGAAAAAATATATTCACAAAGTCTAAATGTGGGTTTAATGTGGTCTGTTGCCTTTTAGTACTAATATGTTCCCTTATCCAACCCTTACTTTTATTGGTGATTCATGTATCCCTGAGTCCTACAAACTATCTTGAGCTCCATTCCAAACGATAGAGCCAGAACATTTGTGCTGTTAAGAGTGATATAACAATTCCCAGAATAATATGATGGCCTGGTGGCATGCAAACTTCCGTGACTGGGTGCTTATACAGATGAAGGAGAAGTTCTTTTGAAATCAAATATGTTTATATATGTTAGCCTCCCCCAGAAAAAAATCTGGAATAGCTCACTGCTCCAATTTTTGGAGGAATAGACTAATCACTTTTACTAATATTCCTTCTGCCTACTCACAACCTGAGTCCTAGTAGAGAAGCCTTTCTTGTTTTCTTTACAATACACCACTCAATGTACTATTGTTGTTGCTATATCAGAAGTTATTTCAATGTACTATTTACCCCCACCTTTTGGTACAGTCACTACTAAGCACCATATTGCACACTCCATATGACTTCCCTCAGATTTGCTCTCAGCCTAGCTATAAAATGTCATGTATAGATGATCCACTACGTGCTGTTTTTATTAGACAGGCCCTCCCCTACAAAGTATCCTGGTCTTACAAGACTCTATATTCCCAGCTGGCACTCACCCATTGTAGCTATAGTCAGTATTTTTGAAGCCTCCAAGAGAAGAACCTTAGTGAGAAATAAGCTCACTAGAAGCCAACGCCGATGCTCAGCCATCTGTAGAACTCACAAACCGCAGATATAGGATCCACACCTTGAGAATGTGCACCGGTAGGGAACCCTGGGGGCCTCTGTCACAGTGCCCTCTTGCTCTTTACCTTGTCTCTGCAGATCACATGCCACTGGACATTTTGTTTCACCTTTCATAAACAGAGTTGACAGATGAATAGATGGAGAGTTAACATTTAACTGGTCTTTTACCGCGCCAGCACGGTCTGGAACCACGAGTCTCGGTGGAGGGTGTCCAGGTTGAATGAATCCACAGAGCATGAGGTTGAAGTGGAACAGCAGCTTCTTTATTGTTCTGCTGGGGCTAGCTTTTATACCATGGCACCAAAAGAGGAGTGGGCTGCGAAGGGACTGTCACCTGACCCAAGGAGGGACTGTCACCTGACCCCAGTAGGGGGTCAAGGAATGATCATGTGCACTCAACCTTCACCTGACCCCAGTAGGGACCAAGGAATGATCACGTGCATCACGTGCACTCAAACTTCCTTATCCAACTCCAGGAGCAGAGGGAAGTTATTATGTTTTCTTTGCAGATAAGTACCTCAAATGGGGCCAGGGAAATGTAACTCGGGGCAGCAATTCCCACAATTCCCCCTACTTTATTTTATAATGAGTGGTCCTGTCTTAGGTCCTGCAAGGGAAGTACCTTCCCTTACCCGTCATAAGGCCCCCGATGGAGACCCTCATTTTTTTCAGCATCTGCAGCCATACCTCATGACTTCCGGGAGAGTCATGGGCCAGACTGAGTAACACCTGATGGTGGACAAGCTCAGTCGTGGTGAAGGTGTTTAGGAATCGTTTTAAGAGGAGCAGGCCTACTGCCACCCCTACTAGTCCCAAGATCTCCAGGGACAAGGCACCTCCCCATCACTGTGCCCAACCACCAATCTGGGCCATGGCATTCCACCATGCCTCAGCAGATACAGGTTTAACACGAGTTTCATTAATTGCAATAATTTGATGTACCAAAGAGTGGGTAAAGTTTACAAAGGAATCATTCCAAGGCCCCCTAAGGTAAGCATTAAGGCGTTGTACCTCAAAGGACGTATTTTTCACTTCCATAAGGGTCACACAGGCAGAATGATAAAAATGAGAACAAGAGGCTTGTTGCACCATCCACAACACATTAATCTGTTCCTGCAATAAGACTGCTTGCTGATTTAAATTTAACATCCCCAACTGAATATGTGAGTCAATGGTATTTTGAGTCTCTAAGGCCTGGGTAACACGGGCAGCAAGAGTGTTAACAGTCTCTGCAGTAGCTGCATTCTGGGACACGGTGATTCCTGCAACGGTGGCAGCTGTGACTGATATGGCGATAGCTGCAATGACTGTGGCGGTGATTCCAAAGTCTCTTCTCTCTCGATACAAGATAAGCTCTCGTCCATCATGTGGGTCTTCTACCACCAGGGGAACCAGAGCAGGAATTCTCACCATCAGCATGGACTCATCCGTCAGGGACCAGCAGTTGCTCAAAAGGCAGGAGCTGGAAGAACAATTAAGAACACCATCCTTCCCGACCGACCCATTAAAGGAGACAAACATAAAGGGAGGCAGAACACAAGCTAGGCTGACAATAGAGAAATTCATTCCCGCTGCGTAATTAATCTGGAGGGATGATTCAAAGATGTCTGATGTGTTCCCTCTGGCTGTAGCATTGAAAGCCAAGCCCCTTTGAAGGGCTAAAGGCCTAATATCTGTACATGCACGAGGGTCGCAGAGAAACATGCCCGCGAACGTAGGTGAAACTCCTGCCATATTTGGATTTCTATAGGAATAATCAAAGGCCCCTCTCAAGGAGATTTTAGAGGTAGGTCGGTGACCAAACCACCATAAATATTTATCTCCCTCCAATTTCCATGGTTCCTTAGGAGCACAATTTCCCCAAGATAATGGTAAGTACAATCTGAAGGATTGTGGCATCTTCCAACATAAGGGAGCTGGTCTCAGAGGAGTTGGAAGTCCAGAAACATTTCTTTTAAAATTTATTGGGTAAAAGATATCTCTCAATCCAAAACAAGGATGCCCAGAAGAATTAGAAGAAAAATCTCCCAGAGAGTAATTCCTAAGGACCACACATGGTCCAGAAAGAGAGATACTAGGCATCTCTGAAATAGTGCTAATCTTCCGGAAGCAGAGGGCATGAGACATATCAAATGTTAAATTACCCAATAAAGATCTTTCTAATGCTGTATTTGCTGTAGGAACCCCCAAAGTATAATTGGTGGAATAAAAGGATGTAAAAACAGAGCTTATTTTACTTACTGGCATCAGTATGAGTGGATTCCTCACCAGTGCCCATCTCAGGGCTCTCGATGTTCTTCACTTGAATCCATATTATCAGGACCAGTAGGACCTGGCTCCACTGGCCGAACATTCCGCTCTGGCACCCAGATGGGGTTTTTAGTTCCTGGAGGGAAGATACAAATGGTTCCCCTCACCCTAGCCAACATGGGTGTGGGTGATTGCCATTGTCCTGTGATACTATCTTCCATTTAACCCAACCCAGAGATTGGGAAGGTTTCTGTCAATGTCTATCCATTGCTGGTAGACCTTGTTTATCTACTGTTAAAAATTTAAATGTATAAAATTGTAGATAACTGGGTATTTGGGGAGGTGATATACTCCTCCTTCTTTATTTTACAAAAAAAATTGTTTAAGGGTAGCATGTGTGCACTCCACTATGGCCTGTCCTGTGGGATTATGTGGAATTCCAAAGGTATGTGTAATTTGATGTTCTTGACAAAATTTTGCAAACCTTTGGCTGGTATAAGCTGGTCCGTTGACTGTTTTGAGAAAATCTGGGATGCCCATATAGGCAAAAGCCTGTAGACAATGAGCAATAACATCCTTAATCTTTTCTCCTGAATGTAGGGAGGCATAAATTACCTTGGAATAAGTGTCTACAGAGACATGTAAAAATTTAAGTCTGCCAGCTTGAGACAAATGGGTAAAATCCATCTGCCAAAGGTGGTTAGGACAGAGGCCTCGAGGATTAACACCTTCATTGGGGGCATTATGAAATGGAGCACAAGCTGTACATTGGGACATGATTTGAGTAGCTGTGGCTAGAGTACAGCCAGAGTGAAACTTTAGAGAAGAGACATTTAAATGATACTTTTCATGAAGATGATGGGCTCGTTGTTCCTCAGAAAGGAACAATGCCATTGGGCTGGTGAGGGAATCTGCAAGCTTATTTCCCTCTGCCAAGGGCCCTGGCAGATCAGTATGGGCCCGAATGTGGCCAACAAAGGCAGAAAACACTCTTTGGCATATAAGGCTTTGCAGCTGAACCAAAAGGTAGAAAACCTGAGAGGTAGGTAATACGTATGGCGAGGTTTCCAATGGCCCAACAATCCTTGCCACATATATACTATCAGTATACAAATTGAAGGGTTGATCTTTGAAAAGAGAAAAGGCCATAAGGCAGGCCGTGAGTTCTGCAGCTTGGGCAGAAATTGGACCTAGGGGCTGCTTTTCTTTAATTGAACCAGAGACCACCACTGCATAGCCCTTGGAAGAACCATCAGTAAACACTGAGTGCATTCCCTTAAGGGGGGAAGTTTTAATAATTCTTGGAAAGATAACAGGATGATTCTTTAAAAATGAAATTAAACAAGAATCAGGATAATGGCTATCAAAAATGGCTCCACTGGTTGCGATGGACAAGGTCCATCCATCTTGAACCCTCTGTAGCCTTGTTATTTCCTCTTTTAGATAAGGGATTAGAAATTTATTTGGGATCCTGCAAAACATTTGTAAACTAAAATCATATGCCTTCCATAGGAGCTGTAGCACCATTTCATAATATGGGGTCACTACCTTCTTAGGGGAAGCGGGTAAATGTAACCAATAAATGGGTCCCCCTTGCCAAAAAACACCAGTAGGTGAAAATTGTGAGCTTGGGACGAGCCTCTAAATTCTGAGAGGAAACTCTGTCCTGTGACTCATTTCCCTCCACCCTGTCTGGATGCTTTTTCTTTTTAATCTTTGTCTCCTCTATCTTACCAGGCCTCCCCTTAGCAGGCTGAGGGAGAGGTTCTGCCTCTGTGTTGGAGGCCACATCAGAACAAAGAGAAGCCTTAATCTCACTATCTTGAATCTCAGATAACATCTCTTTTGTTGCTTCCAAAGCCTACTTAACCCAGACTTTCTCTGTAAGCAAAGCATCCCTGATCAGTCTCCAAAGGGAGAACATGGCAATTGGCAGGACTTCAGGCCCCTCCTTTCTCAAAGTTTTTTGAAGAGCCCCGCAAACCTGTTCCCATTCAGAAATATTGAGGGCTCCACTGGTGATGAACCAAGGACTCCACGTTTCTATAGTTTTAAGAAAATGTTCTAAAGTTTTCTAGTTTTTACAGCTGTTCCCTGCTCTTTCAATAACCTCTTTAGCTGAAACTTTAGCTCTGATTTACCCGGGGTATTAGCCATTTCTTAATTATCTCTTATCTCTTAATTATTTCTTAATTATCTTAATTATCTCTTATTTCTTAATTATTTCTTAATCCCCAATGCATCCTGGCTGGCTACAGGATGACCCGGTCCACTTGCCTCACCTTTCCAATCTCGGGGGGGCCTCCAATTACCGCACCAGCACGGTCTGGAACCACGAGTCTCGGTGGAGGGTGTCCAGGTTGAATGAATCCACAGAACATGAGGTTGAGGTGGAACAGCAGCTTCTTTATTGTTCTGCTGGGGCTAGCTTTTATACCATGGCACCAAAAGAGGAGTGGGCTGCGAAGGGACTGTCACCTGACCCAAGGAGGGACTGTCACCTGACCCCAGTAGGGGTCAAGGAATGATCACGTGCATCAACCTTCACCTGACCCCAGTAGGGATCAAGGAATGATCACTGCATCACGTGCACTCAAACTTCCTTATCCGACTCCAGGAGCAGAGGGAAGTTATTATGTTTTCTTTGCAGATAAGCATCTCAAATGGGGGCAGGGAAATGTAACTCGGGGCAACAATTCCCTCAGTCCTTTAGCCACAGTATCCTCTTCTTCAACACAACTCTTCAACTGTGATTGAAGGGACATTAAGAAATCCTGTCAAGGGAAGCATCTTGAAGTGACATGTACCATGACCATTTTATAGGCCTATTCACTAACTAACAAGACTCTGTCTGCCTCCTCTGTCATTTCTTTACTGGTATCCAATTGCCATATCTGTTACCC